CCCAGCCACCTACTTATATACCCCCGGCCCAGGGTGGCACGCCCAGGTGTGCCCACTGTCTGCATCACCAGCTCCCTCCACAGGCTCTCAGGAGGTCTGGGATCTGGGAGGGAGCCAGCTGCCCCGGGCTCAGCGTTCCCTGGTCGCTGCTGCTGGCGGCCAAGCCTCTCCCAATTGTGTCGGGTAATTGGGTGATATTAGGCTGTCAGGGCACATAAATCAGCTGTCTGCCAGGAGGGTGACCTAGATCCCGGAGTTTGGTCTCAGCTGGTCCCAGCAACAGGTCTGAGACTCAGACCCTCTAGGACAGAAACTTCTGGAGCAGGGCCACTTCCCGGCAGATAGTCCCTGCTGCCCCCCGACCCAGCCCCTTGGTGCCCACTGTGGCTAAGCTGGGTGTGGTTGGTAGAGGATGAGAGGGACCCTGTTCCTCCCTACAGGGAGGGAGCTTCTAGTGTATGTGGAAACCCGGCCCCGGTTCTCGGGTTCCCAATGTGACTGGGGAGATGGGGGCCGGGGATTGGCCTGCCCTCAGGAGATGCCAGTCTGATGGAGAAATGCAACAGAAAGACAGACAGTCCACCAGGGCTCAGGCAGTCCATTCCAACTCCTAGTGACCCTGCAGGACAGAGAAGGAGTGGCCTGTGGGTTTCCAAGGCTACAGATCTTTAAGAGCGCAGAAAGCCTCCTCTTCCTCCCACGGGATGGCTGGTGAGCTTGAACTACTGATCTTGTGGCTCGCGGTTCAATGTGTCACCCACTGTGCTACCAGGGCTCCTTCCCAGGAGACCGTTGTTTGCTGTTGTTATTGTTGGGGTCCATCGAGTCAGTCCTGATTCAGAGCAATCCCACACACAACAGAACGAAACACTGCCTGCTCCTGCGCCAGCCTCACTGCGGTTCCTATGCCTGAGCCCATGGCTGCAGCCACTGTGCCCATCCATCTCCTTAGGGGCCTTCGTCTTCCTCGCTGTCCCTCCACTTCACCAAGCATGATGTCCTTCTCCAGGGACTGGTCTCTCCTGACGACATGTCCAAAGGATGCTCCCCCAGGAGCACTGGCACCATACTTCTTCTGACACCGATTGGTTTGTCCTTTTGACAGCCCGGGGTGCTTTCCAGAGTCTGCACCAGCACCACAACACGCTTCAACGGCACTGACTCTTCCGTGGTCTTCCTTGGGCAATGTCCAGGAGACAGTGGAACTCAGTAAAGGAAGAAGAGCCCAAGGGCCGCTGTGGGATGAGCGTTGAGCTGCTGAACCAGAAGGTCAGAGGTTCAAACCCGCCAACCAATCCACAGGAGAAAAACGTCATCAGCTCTCTTTAAAAAAAAATCAGTCTTGGAAAGCCTAACTTGGGGCCCTATGAATCGGAATCACCTCGATGGTAGTGGAGTAATACATGTGGATGGAGACCCCGGTGACGTAGTGAATGCACTCAACTTCCAGCTGAAAGGTGGGAGGTTCAAGTCCCCCCACAAGCCCCTCAGAAGGCGGCCCTGGCAATGTGCCTCCATCAAGATTGCAGCAGACAAGCCCACGAGCTGTGCCCACGAGCCGTGCCCACAAGCCGTCCTCCTCGCTGACACATGGGGTCCCCAGGCATCGGATCAGCTCGCCTGGCCCAGCTCTGAGGCCCCATGTCAGCTGACGGAGGCCCTGGTGGTGCCAGCAGTGACTGTGTCGGCTGCTAACCGAAAGGTGGGAGGTTCGAGTGCACCCAAAGCCATCTCGGAAGAACGACCTGCAGACCCAATTCCAAAACCACCTCCCCTGAAAATCCCAGAGAGCTCACTTCTGCTCTGACCCACACGGAACCGGCCAGGTGAGGGTCGACTCACCGGCAGCTGTCCTCGGTGCCTGCACAAGCGGCTCGACCTCATCCTGCCTCGAACTGATTCCTGGGAGAGCCCGGAGCTGTGGGACTTGGTCCTAGTCCTTGCCATCTCCAGCAGGCGGCAGATGCTCTAAGGTGCATTCCCAAGGGTCCCCAAGGCCAGAAGAAGGTGCTGAGGAAGGCGGGGGACTCCTGGGGCCACACTTCCTGGGTGCGGCTCCAGCCCCCTGCTCACTAGTTGTGTGATTTTGGTGAGTTCCCTAACCCGTCTGTGCCTCCATCCTGGTCCCTGCAAAATAATGGCATTTCGAGTTGCCCGTCTTAGAACTCAATGGAAAGAAGACCAAAGTCCTCACAAGCGGACCAGCAGGTCACATCCAGATGAAGGGAGAAGAGGGTGAAGCCGTCAAGGGTTTCGTCTTGTTGGATCCTCAGTCAGTGCTCACGGAAGCAGCAGTCAAGAGATCAAAGGACGAGTCGTGTTAGGCAAGTCTGCTGCACAAGATCCCGTAGGGTATGGAAAAGCAAGCATGCTACCTTGAAGACCCAAGACATGATATTTTTTTTCTTTTTTAAAAAATCATTTTATTGGGGGCTCATACAACTCGTATCCCAACCCATCCATACATCAATTGTATAAAGCACATTTGTACATTCGTTGCCCTCATCATTCTCAAAACATTTGCTCTCCACTTAAGCACCTGGTATCCCCCTCCCTCCCCACTCCCCCCGCCCTCATGAACCCTTGATAATTTATAAATTATTATTTTGTCATTGTCATATCTTACACTGTCCAATGTCTCCTTTACCCACTTTTCTGTTGCCCGCCCCCCAGGGAGGAAGTTATATGTAGATCCTTATCATTGGTTCCCCTTTCTACCTCACCCTCCCGGTATTGCAACTCTCACCACTGGTCCTGAAGGGATCATCCGTCCTGGATTCCCTGTGTTTCCAGTTCCTATCTGAACCAGTGTACATCCTCTGGTCTAGCCAGACTTGTAAGGTAGAATTGGGATTATGATAGTGGGGGGGAGGAAGCATTTAGGAACTAGAGGAAAGTTGTATGTTTCATCATTGCTACATCGCACCCTGACTGGCTCATCTCCTCCCCGTGATCCTTCTGAAAGGGGATGTCCTGTTGCCTACACACGCGCTTTGGGTCTCCACTCCGCACTCCCCCTTATTCATAATGATATGATTTTTTGTTCTGATGATGCCTGATACCTGGTCCCTTCGACACCTCGTGATCACACAGGCTGGTGTGCTTCTTCCATGTGGACTTTGTTGCTTCTCCACTTGATGGCCGCTTGTTTACCTTCAAGCCTTTAAGATCCCAGACGCTATATATTTTGATAGACGGGCACCATCAGCTTTCTTCACCACATTTGCTTATTCACCCGCTTTGTCTT